TCTCTGCTTCTCCTCTCTCTGTGTAACTCTGACTTTCAAATAAATAAATAAGTCTTAAAAAAAAAAAAAAGAAAGAAGAGAACATGGGAGTAAATCATGGTTTCTCAGATCTGACACACCTAAAGCATAAGCAAAAGGAAAGCAAACAGATAACTGGACTTGGTCAAAACTAAAGATGCTCATGCTGTAAAGGACACCATCAGTAAAGTGAAAGACAGTGCACATAAAATGAGAGAAAAATATTTGCAAATCGTGTATCTGATAAGAGACGTATATCCCGAATTTATGAAGTACTTTTGTAACACAAAAAAATAAAAGCATAAATAAGAAACAAGAAAAGGATCTTAACAGATTTTTCCAAAGAAGCTACATGAATAGGCAACAACACAAAAAAATGCTCAACTACATTAGCTGTCGCTCCCCCACTTCGCGGAGGAACGACACAGGACCCTGCGCTGTTCTTTTGTCTGCTCGGCCCTCCCCGGGTTTGCTGCTGGTTCTTCCCGGGTTGGCTACCGTCCCTTCCACCTCCGTGGAAGGGCGGTTCCCCCTAGCCACTTTCCCCACTTCCGCGGGGGAGCGGCACACCGCCGGCTGGCTCTCTCGGGGGCTGCACAGGTGTTCCCTTAGATGTTCCTGGTGCATGTTGTCGCTCTCCTCCTTTATAGTCCTCTTCCACCAATCCCAACTCTGCTACCCACACGCCGAGTACGCTGCTCTCCTCCAATCAGGAGCAGGATCAGCTCCTGCAGCTCAGTCAATCAAATTGGCGAGAGGCAGCTGTGTAGAAGCTGTTTCCTCCTCTCCCAGCGCCATATTGTGGGAGAGCAGATGCATAGAATAAGTCTTAATTCCAGTAACAGTCCAGTCCGAGTTGCTCCCCACAATTAGCCATCTTTTGTAGGTATCATTTCACACCCCTGTTTTCAATGGCAAGTATGCAGAGAAACTGAAGCGCTTGTGCATTGCTGATGGGAAGATAAAATTATATAGCCACTGTGGAAAACAGCACAGCAGTTCATCAAAAGTCTGAACACGGAACTACCAAAGCATCCAGGGATTCTACTTCTGGGTATAGACTTGAAAGAATTGAAAGCAGGGGGGCCGCTGCTGTGGCGTGGCAGGTAAGGCCACTGCCTGCAGTTCCAGCATCCCATATGGGCGCCAGTTCGAGTCCCGGCTGCTCCACTTCTGATCCCGCTCTCTGCTGTGGCCTGGGAAAGCAGTGGAAGATGGCCCAAGTCTTGGGCCCCTGCACCCACGTGGGAGACCCAGAAGAAGCTCCTGGCTCCTGGCTTAGGATTGGTGCAATTCTGGCCGTTGCAGCCACCTGGGGAGTGAACCAGCAGATGGAAGACCTCTCTCTCTCTCTCCCTCTCTCTCTCTCTCTCTGCCTCTCCTTCTCTCTTTATGTAGCTCTGACTTTCAAATAAATACATACATATTTTTTTTTTAAAAAAGAATTGAAAGCAGGGACTTGAACAGGCATTTGTCCACTAATGTTCACAGGAACATTATTCACAACAGAAAAAAAGTAAAAACAAGCCGTATGTTCACGGACATGCTCAACCCAAATGTTCACTGCACATATGTGGGATTCACATGCTACAGAAATGCTCAGCCTTGAAACAAAGGAAATGATGATGCTTGCTCCAACATGGATGGCCTTACAGGACATTATGCTAGGTGAAGCAAGCTAGACCAGAAGGACAAAGATTGCAGGGTTCCGCTTATTGGAGGAGCCTGTGGTAGCCAAATTCACAGAGACATAAGGTACAATGCTGGTTACCAGAGGCCAGGAGAGAGAAGAAGGGAGGTTCCCTGTTAATGGGATCACAGTTTTCATTTGGCAAAAAAATAAAAGGTCTGGAGATGGATGGTGGTGATGGTTGCATAAGCATGTGATGTATTTAATGACACTGAACACTTAAAAATGACTAAAATGGGGGCCGATGTTGCAGTGTGGGTTAAGCCACTATCTGTGACATCGGCATCCCAAATGGGCACAGGTTCGAGCCCTGGCTGCTCCGCTTTCGATCTAGCTCCCTGCTGATGCACTTGGGAAACAGCAGAAGATGGCCCAAGTGTTTGGGCCTCTGCACCCTTCCAGGAGACCTGGATGAAGCTCTTGGCTCCTGGCTGTTGCAGCCATTTGGGGAGCGAACTAGCAGTTGGAAGACAGATCTATCTATCTACCTCTCTCTCTCTCTCCTTCTCTACAATTCTGCCTTTCAAATAAATAAATAAATCCTTTAAAAAAACTAAAATGGTAAATTACATATTTTTTATCACAATTAACAAAATCAAAATCAAAGGTAAGAAATGAAGCACTGACATAATCCTGAAAATTTCACATTACTTGAAAGAGATCCAGACACCAAGTGCCACATAGTGTATGATTCATTTAAATGAAATGTCCAAACAGGAAAACACACAGAGATGGAAAGTAGATTAGTGGTTGCCTGGGGATGGAGGTGGGGGCGGGGAAGAGGGAAGAGACTGCTAATCGTTTCTTTCAGCGTTGAGGAAACGTTCTAAAATTAGATAATGGGGATGGCTGCATGACCTTGTGAATACACTGAAAACCACCGACTTGCACACTTCTAAAAAGTGAATCTTACAGTATGCAAATCTTACGTCAGGAAAGTTGTTGGGGAGAAACAGCAGAGTTATTGTCAGCAGGGAGAATCCAGCAACCTGGCTGAGGGAGTGCTGAGAGCTCCCCGGGACGGGGACCTCAGAGACCCAGCAGTCACGGTCAGTGCTCGTGGGCGCGACGTGGTTCTGAGCAGCAGGAATTCAGACTCGCCAGTCGACCAGGCACGCGAGACTTCTGAACCCATTTTCTTTCTTTCTTTCTCTCTCTTTTTTTTTTTTTTTTTTTTTTTGACAGGCAGAGTGGACAGTGAGAGAGAGAGAGACAGAGAGAAAGGTCTTCCTTTGCTGTTGGTTCACCCTCCAATGGCCGCCACGGCCGGCACACCGTGCTGATCCGATGGCAGGAGCCAGGTACTTATCCTGGTCTCCCATGGGGTGCAGGGCCCAAGCACCTGGGCCATCCTCCACTGCACTCCCGGGCCACAGCAGAGAGCTGGCCTGGAAGAGGGGCAACCGGGACAGAATCCGGCACCCCGACCGGGACTAGAACCTGGTGTGCCGGTGCCGCAAGGCGGAGGATTAGCCTAGTGAGCCGCGGCGCCGGCCCTGAACCCATTTTCAAATGGCCTTTCCAAACGCAGTTAGGGAGACCCCTCTCATCCCCCCCACCCCACCCCAAAGAAGGAAAAAGAGCAGCCACTGGGTCTGGTCACCCTCAGGCTATCCCCCCCTCAGTGTTCAGATCCCGTGTGGATGTGTTTTACTGCTGGGCACACAGCTGTCTATGAACACATCTGTCAAACATAAAAAATACCCTTCGGCCTAACCTCTCCTCAAGACGCATCGTCCCTCTCAGCTCTCCGAGGCTCTGCTATCAGGGCCTCGTAACCCCCATCCCTTCCTTGCTCTGAGCTGCTCGCCCCTGACTCTTAGGAGTGGACAGGGCGCTTTCGCTGACAGTTTTATTGCCAGGCTGTCTGAATATTTCAGTGTGTCTTGTTATTCATTTGTTTATCACACGTTCACAGTAGAACCACCGTATGTCAGCCACGTCCTGAGTACTGGCAAAATAAAAGCTATGTCTGTGGAGCTTATATGGAGGGTCTCAAAAGAAAAACATAGATAAATGCAGGTGTCGTGGCACAGCAGGTTAAAGCCTGCAGCCCATATCTAAGTCTGCTTCAAGTCTTAGTTACTGCATGCTTCCAATCCAGCTCCCTGCCCACGTGGCGGGAAGGCAGAGGATGATGGCCAAGTTCCTGGGTCCTCGCCACTCATGTGAAAGACCCTAACGGAGTTTCTGGCTCCTGGCTTCAGCCTGGCCAGGCCCTGGCTGTTGTAGGCATTTGGAGAATGAACCAGTAGAGGAAAGGTTGGTCTCTCTCTCTCTCTCTCTCTCTCTCTCTCCCATTAAAATAAATCTTTTTTTTTTTTTTTTTAAAAAAAAGGTCATGGAGAGAAAAAAGCAGGAGGAGAATATCTCAGTGGTTGGGGCCGGCACTGTGGCACAGTGGGTTAAAGTCCCAGCCTGCAGGGTCGGCATCTCATATGGGTGCCAGTTCGAGTCCCAGCTGTTCCACTTCCAATCCAGCTCCCTGCTATGGCCTGGGAAAGCAGAAGATGGCTCAAATCTTCAGAAACCTACACTCACGTGGGAGACCTAGAAAAAGCTCCTGGCTCCTGACTTCGGATCAGCTCAGCTCTGGCCATTGCAGCCCTTTGGGGAGTGAACCAGCAGATAAAAGACCTCTCTCTCCCTGTCTCTATTTCTCTCTGTAACTCTGTCTTTCAAATAAATAAAATAAATCTTTTTTAAAAAAATTCATGGAAAAATGCATATTATGAAAACTACACATGGATTTCAAGATCCTTCGCATGGAAATGAATTCACCTTTTAATTACATATTCATGAATTTTTAAGGCCTAATGAGGAGAGAGGAGGGAGGCCCATAAGTGAAAATATGACTATGGAGAATGATAGTGCCTGTGCAAGTGAGACAAGGGCAAAGAGGAGTCTGGCTGTGTATCTGCTGAGCCGGGATGGTGCCACGGTGGCGGCATTCAAACTGAGACAGAAGAGGGAGAGGGAGAAACCTTGCAAAGATAGTTCCAGGTGGAGGGGGCTCCAAGACCGTTTTGGTTTTAATCCTAAGGTAACTTAAGGGAGAGCTATCCACACCACTGTATATAAGACAGCTTTAGGTTAGAGCTGTCCCCAAATTACAGGGGGTCATCCTCCTGGAATGACACTTCACTGTGTCCATTCTGTGAACTTCCCGTGTTCCCGTCAGCATTTGATCGTAAGCTTTTATCCTGCTTTTTAAATACTTGCACGACCTACGTCCCGCATGCCATATCCCCTCCAAATGTATACCATGGATTCCTGAGGACCCGCACATTACCTGGGAAAGAATCAACTGCCCATGAAACGTGTACACAAATTTTCTTAAAAATGAAAAATAGGTCTCGTCTCCAAGTCTTTTGGCAAGGAACCGAAGGAGGAAATAGCCCTGGAAGAAAAGAAGAGAGAGAAAAGATGCTTGTCTTGGGTTCATCAGGAAAATGCTCACCCAGTCAAATTCAGCTACACACTGGTGCACCAGGCACACTGGGACATGCCGTCTCACCTATCCCAGTTGCCCTTTAGATCCTGTCCAAGACTGGGTCTGGAAGCGAGGGAAGCACTCTGTACCCAGCTTCCATGTCCTTGTTAATGTTACCATCATCTCGGCTTTGACTTGGCTCACGTGAAGCCTGCATGCCCGTCGTGGACTAGCAGGAAACACAGGCCCGGCCCCTCTCCTTCGGCTACCATGAGTCTTTTATAACTTCAAAGGCTTCCTTGTTACCCCTGGCTTTTGGTTAGAACCTGACAGTGATTTGAGGGCTCTGCCCTTCAAAGCTGACCTGAGAAAGGAGCCAGGGAGAAGGAAGCTACGGGGCAGGGCATACTTCAGCTTCTGTTGATTTACCCTGCCCAACATGGCCTCATTTTGGCGGCGGGGGGGGGGGGGGGGGAGTAAAGTGCTTTAGTTATCGGACAATCACGTATCTTCCCAGTCAGGTGCCATTACACAATGATGGTATTTTGTTTGGCCTCTGCCATGTCACTCATCTTCCTGGTTTTAACCGTATCACTCCGCACCATGGCGACAATCTTCCGGCACTTGGGTGCACGTACCTTTAAATAATGGACCTGCATGAAGATCTTCTCTGGGTTGAGTCCATGCTTGATGACAGATGCTCCGGATTCACTCACGTGGCCAGTTTTCTCTTTACTAGGTCTAAAACGATGCAGTAATATTTTAAGTATAGCGCATTCTTTACTAATGAGACCATACTATCCATGTATTTCTTATTTTCAGAGTTGCTCGACAGCATTTAATTCTCTCCCATAGTACCAGGTATAACTGAAAACCATCCACATTATAAATTCTTATAGTGAACAAGGAGGGTTGGCAGGCTGAGGTAGGCTACTGGCAATATTTTATGTTATCTTATCCAACATTACAGCCTGCCAGGTCTTCAAGGAATCTAAGTCCAATATGAATTATTTAAGAACCCACACCCTTTCTGGGGGGTGGGAATGCAAGACCGGGAAATGCAGTGGAAAATGTAGCTCAACTTGGAGGAGTAAAGAATTGATGTAAAATCTCAGAGCCATCCACTTCTCTGGATTGGTAATTAATCATCAGGGATCCTTTAGAAACACTCTAAACCCATTTCGGAATTATCAACGACATTCATAGAAGCGGGCGTTTTTAGAACAGGTGGGGACACAGCGGTTACACACTTCAAGCTTCTCATTTCACAAATGAGCGAAACCCAGAAGCTTGGGGCTTGCAGCTTGTTGGGTTTGTGGCAATGCGAGGACTGAAACCGGTGCCTCTTTACTCTCCACTGGGTCTTTCCCACTGTGCTCTCTAGTGTTAAATATTTTTAAAAATCCCTTTAATAAAATACAACATAAACTTTGAAGCATCTGGAAAAGAATCACTCAGGGTGTTATAGTGAAGCTTCAACAACTAAAATAAAAATACATGGCAAGATGCTTACACCTTTCACCTGTTTTAAGACTGGTTTAAGACAAACAACTGGGGGCTGGTGCTGTGGCACAGCAGGTTAGGCCTCCGCCTGCAACACCTGCATCCTGTGTCAGAGTGCCAGTTGAGTCCTGGCTGCTCCACTTCCGACCCAGCTCCCTGCTCCAGAGAAGGCAGGGAGAAGACCCAAGTGCTTGGACCCCTGCTACCCACGTGGACAACCTGGATATAGTTTCAGACTCTTGGCATTGGCCCAGCCCAGCCCCGACCATTGCGGCTGTTTGGGAAATGAACCAGCAGATGGAAGATCTCTTTCTCTGTTTCTCCCTCTCAAAGCCAGGAGCCAGGAGCTTCTTCCGGGTCTCTCACTTGGGTGGTGGGGGCCAAAGGACTTAGGCCATCTTCTTCTGCTCTCCCAGGAGCATTAGCACGGAGCTGGATCAGAAGTGGAGCAGCTGGGACCTGAACTGGCATCTATATGGGATGCCGGCACTGCAGGAGGCAGCTTAACCTACTACACCACAGCACCAGCCTCTAAATAAATCTTTTAAAAACACACACTAAAAAGACAAACAACTGAGAAGCATGTGTTGAGGCAAGAGGAGATGGGCATGATGGGATCGTGAGCGCACGAGAAAGGCAGCAGATAGTTAAAAGGTGGTTGGTGTAGTACAAGGTACACAGTCTTAGGAATCTGAGAAAGCTAGCTCTGACTACCAGCCTGACTTCTTTCTTCCTGTTACTTACAGACAGTGTACTTCAACTCTCCAACCCTTAATTTATTCACTTGTAAAAGGGGAATAACCTTACCTATCTTCCCAGGTCCTAGGGAAAATAATAATATCCAGAATAATATATTGCAAGGAGAGCTGGGGATACAGAAATTCATAACTTAATAAAACACTCTAACTCTTTTGGCACAAAGAATCCCGGATTGGGTCTTTGCCAAATATCGTAGTACGTTTCGCCTGCAGACACAAGGCACGGGAGCAGCAGACACCCGGAGATAAGATGCCTGAGACCTGCCCCTGGGGCTAACTGCACAGCTTTCACCCCGAAAGCCACCCCAGCTTTAATGGGGAAAGCCCATCGCCCGGAGTCTGGGGGGAGGCAAGGCTTCTCAAGAGTCAGTCTGAATCCCAACACGTTGCCCAGCCCCGAGAAGAAGCAGGGCTACGCTGAGATCTTTATGTCCTTGAGCTCTGAACTGAGGCCGCTGGAAAGGGAGCAACACGCAAGAACGTGAATCTGCTCAGAGGCTGGCTTGCAGGCTCCGCCCCCAATGATGCTTCGGTGGCTGCCTTTCCCTCTGCCTAAAAATGTCCTTCCCAAAGCGTCCCTCTCCTTACTCTCTTCTCCCACCAGCTCCAAATGAAGAAGTGCTCACGAAAATTCTTTCATGCTGACAGCATCCAAGGCAAACATACAAGTCCCTAAGAGATGCCTTTTAAAGTCGACTTGGTGCTGCGGAGAACGGTGTGCAGGCACACTTTGTGAGAAATCGACCAGGGTGGCTTTTATGAGGAAAAGATGCTCGATGAGTGGGCGTGTGACACTCCAGCCCCGTGCCACACCAGGTTGTAACGCCACCTATCCCGGGTCTGTGCAGAGACAGAAAGCATGGGAGACAGGTGAACCACTACCACATTGCAGCAACAGACAGGAATCTCACAGCTGAGTGACAGAAGGCAGAACCACGTAGAATGCATACAAATGGACGATTCCATTTTGATGAAGTCCAAGGACAGGCAAAGCTGATCTATGGTGATGGAGATCAGAACTATGGCGGGCCGGCGCTGCGGCTCACTAGGCTAATCCTCCGCCTTGCAGCGCCAGCACACCGGGTTCTAGTCCAGGTTGGGGCGCTGGATTCTGTCCCAGTTGCCCCTCTTCCAGGCCAGCTCTCTGCTGTGGCCAGGGAGTGCAGTGGAGGATGGCCCAGGTGCTTGGGCCCTGCACCCCATGGGAGACCAGGAGAAGTACCTGGCTCCTGCCATCGATCAGCGCGGTGCGCAGGTTGCAGCGTGCCGGCCGCAGTGGCCATTGGAGGGTGAACCAATGGCAAAAGGAAGACCTTTCTCTCTGTCTCTCTCTCTCTGTCCATTCTGTCAAAAAAAAAAAAAAAAAGAACTATGGCTACATTTGGAGGGAATATGGACAGATGGGGGGAGAAGCAGAAGGTTATGCAGGTGCTGAGAATGTTTATATATTGATGGGAGCAAGGTTTCACGAAGATAAAAAGCAAAAATTCTTTGAAGAATCTAGTAAAGATCTGTGCGCCTTAAACGTGTATATGTTATATTTCAGTTAAAAAGTTAAGGAAAAAAAATAGAGGCAGTTGTTTAGCCTAGTGGTTAAGACACTGGTTAAAATACTGGTGTCCCATCTCAGAGTACTCAGCTTCAATACAGGGCTCTGGGTCCTGACTCCACCTTCCTGCTAATGCAGACCCTGGGAGGCAGCGGGTAATGACTCTAGAATTGGGTTCCTGTTGCCTACATGGGATACTTGGATTGAATTTCTAGACCATAGCTTCAGCCCAACTCTCGTGTTTGTGGGCATCTGGGGAACAAGTCAGTAGACTGGCTCTCTCTCTTTCTCTCATGCTCTCTCTCTCTCTGCCTCTCAAGCAAATACATTTTTAAAAGTAATTTAAATCTATTTTTAAAAACAAAATAATAGGGGTTGGCACTGTGGCCTAATGGGTAAAGCCGCTGCCTGTGGTGTTGGCATTCTACATGGGCACCAGTTTGAGTCCTGGTTGGCTGCTCCAATCCAGCTCCCTGCTAATGTGCCTGAGAAAGTAGTGGAACATGGCCCAGGTGTTAGGGCCCCTGCATCCAAGAGAAACTCCCGGCTTTGGATCGGCCCAACTCCGGCTGTTGTAGCTATTTGGGAGGGAGGGGTGAACAAGTGGATGGAAGATCTCTCTTTGTTTCTCTAACTCTGCCTTTCAAATGAATAATTTTAAAAAAAGAAAGAAAGAAAGAGATGCCCATAAAACAGTAAACAGTGAGAACAAAAGGAAGACACTCTAGACAGGGGTATTGCTGCTGGTGCACTGTGAACACTGGGGTTGACTGGGCACTCTGCACCCAGAGACCAATGACAACAATGTGAGAGGCAGAAAAGACTTCCAAATCCAATTAACTCAGTCTACTTCCACGCTCACTTCTCCTTGCCACTTGCACAATTATGTCTGAAAAGCTAAATGCTCATTTTCCAAGTGTCCCTTGTAGACACCTGCAAAACAGCCCAGCCCAGGCTGGGGCAGGGGGTGGTTGGGGGCAGGAGGTGGGGTTGTGGAAAAGTTGTGTGGTTTGTCTGTGTGTTTAATGTTTGTTACTGTGCTTCTCTGTAAACACAGTGGATGGAGCTACAGCAGCCATCTTGTAGCCAGGAGGCAGCAAACCAAACTACTATGGAGGGCGGAAGGGAATCCAAGAAGGTAAGTCATCTTTGATGCTATCATTTGGCTCCTGCCTTCCAACTTCTTACTGTGTGAGAAACATAACCCCCATTTGTTAAGTGAGTGTTGCTTCACTAGTCCATTAATAGTAGCCCAATTCATCCCTAACGGATGGAGACTTGGCCTAGCACCAACAGTTAACATTTCCTGGTTACTCTTCGTGCCAGGTTCCCCGTCAAGCTCTTCCTGGTGCATCCTCCACCCTCACGAGAACCCGATGAGCCAAGTGCTTGCTGTGAATCTGTTCACTTAACAGCAGAAGAAAGTGCGAGGAAAGACCACAGGGCAGGTCAGAAGCAAGGCCAGGCTGCAGCCCAGGTCCCCACAATACTAAAGGCCGCCCAGGCATCAGGCTCCCACAGTGGCCGTGCCAAACACCAAGTGGAAGACCCGAGACAAACGGCGTCCTCCCCTGGAGGTGAAGTCATCTTCCTCATCTCGCGCGTCTGCAATGAGGCTCAGATCCCGCACACGTGTTTCTTAAAAGCACAAGTGCTCATGGGCTCTTAGACCTTGTGCTCTGGTATTTATTTTCATGGCTGGAACACATGGAATGCGAGGGATCGAGTTACCAAGGTCGTCTGGGCTGCAGCGCCCTTGGTCTGTGCCTGCTGTACCTGGCACCAAATGCAGCGACTGAGACTGTCGTGACCTCTGCCTTCCCCTCTGCTTTCCTCTCCTAGGGCCCTGGGAGCAGGCGGGTGGCAGGGCTGTTTACCACACAGGGATCTGCTTTGGAATCAAGCCTCCTGCAGAGAGAACCCATCTTGCA